CTCATCTTCATAACATCAGAGAAAACAGCTCATCAAATCAACGGCAATGCTTTACCCCAACTGATACAATCAGCAACACATTAAGATCAAGCACAGCTTGAACACTGACCACCTGTGGTAGTCACTAGTCTATCACCCTTAAATCATTTGAATTAAATTGAAATCAAGAAGCAGTCCAGAACATGTCTGCAGTGAATAAAATTTCAATATAGTGTATTTACCATTTAATGGCTCAGACAGAGCGAGGATGCATGACCCCTGATCTCAGTTAGCTGATTGCTGAACCCCATAATGCAGACCGACCTCAGGCTGCAAGGCCCAGATTGAGTTCCCCAACCTTCTGAATGGTTGAACTCTGCAACGTTCTATTACAGGTTTCCCACGCCCTTTCTTTAAAGATGTTCAAAGTTGGTAACTCAGAAAAATACCCTTGATGACCACCTCTGCCTCTGCAGAGTGGGTCCAAAGACTTGCACAGTCAGGAGGTCTGAGAGTGCGCGGAGGGCGGGTGTTAGGGGGTTCAGGGGTGCCCGCGCAGCTACCTTCCCGGAGCTCAAGCGATGGCACCTGGGGCGGGAGAAGGCGTGGCTCTCTATTTTTCGTTTTTGAGACAGAGTCCCAGAACATTGGGTGATCAAAAAGCACAGTGAGTCCCGGGTATGGTGACGCACACCAGTAATCCCAGCACTCAGGAGGCTGAGGCAGGAGGATCTCTGTGAGTTCGAGACCAGCCTGAGCTACATAGTGAGTTCCAGGTCAGTCTCAACTACATAGTGAGACCCTGTCTCACAAACAAAAAAAAAACAGTGAGTGATTACAAATGCTTTTGAGTTTATTACAGTAAAAGACGTACTGCCATTAACCCCCTTCAAACTGTTTCCTTTTGCATCAAACACACTGTCCTTGCCACTTCCATGGGGGGACATTTATCATACCTTTTTCATCCTTGCCATTTGTGAAGCAGTTCTGGGAGTTTCTTTTCGTGTTGTCACTTGCACTGCTCTGGCTGCCGTGATGTCTCGAATAGATTCAGAATGCTTCCCTTTCATGACCATTTTGACCTTGAGGAGGGCTAGAAGTCGCACAGTGCCCGATCTGATGAGTAAGGTGGATGAGGACACTGCATCATGCTTTTACTGGACAGAAATTGCTAGATTGCTTTAAACATTTGATCAGGAGTGATCAAAAGATATGGTGAATGTTTAAAAAGTTTATGACAGCCCAGGACACGTTGCCATGAATCCCTTCCAAAATATCCTCCACACTTTTTTGTTTTTGTTTTTGTTCTGTTTGTTTGTTTGTTTGTTTGTTGAGACAAGGTGCTTCAGGCTGGCCTTGAACTCACTGTGTAGCCCAGGCCGGCCTTGAACTCATGGGGATCCTCCTGCCTCAGCCTCCTGAGTGCTGGGATTACTGGCATGCGCCACCAAGCCCCAATATCCCCCACACTTCGAATATACTTATTGTATCATTCTTGGGCATGTAATAAATTCTTGTACTGTAATAAATCATTTTTAAGTTTAAGCATTCAGCATGCTTCCCAATCACCCTAGAATGTAGTGTAGGTTTGGCCTTAAATTTGCACTCCTCCTGCCTCAGCCTTCCATGTTCTGGGATTCCAGGCTTGTGTGTTGTTTCTTAACATATCTTAGTTTCGTCCTATTAACATCTTTATATTCAGGTTCCTGACTGGGGATTGTGACTCAAAGGGAGAGCACTTGCCTAGCTTGTGCAGGGTCCTACATTTGCTCCTCAGCACTGCAAAAATAAACAGATGAGAGATTAGATAGATAGGTAGGTAGATGGAAAAAAGGTAAGTCAATGAGTGAATATTTTCCTCATTTATAAAATAGAAAATAGTAGGATCTTAGGCTTTTGTGGACACACATGTAATTATTCAACAAATGTTAGCTATTATAAATACTGTGAGATTAACATTTATCTTTTTTTTTTTTTTTTTTTAGTACCGGGGATCGAACTCAGGTCCCTGCCCTTGCAAGGCAGGTCACCAAACTGCTGAGCTAAATCCCCGGTCCCAACATTTATCTTTTGAGAAAATGAAAAAGTGGAAATAAAGTATTTGTAAATGGGGAGGGAAGTGGGGGGTAAAGGGAGGGCAGGGACAAGGGGGAAAAATGAGAACCAAGACCTGTCATGTAAAGGTACAAGATCCCAATAATGAACGTAACTGTACTGTATACCTAAAATGTACCAATAAACTCAATGAGGAAAAAAAGTATCTTTTGAATATTCTGAATGTGAACATCTCAAAAAGATGAGAGCAGGGCCGGGGATTTAGCTCAGTGGTGCTGTCGCCTGCCTTGCAAGCTCAAGGTCCTGAGTTCGATCCCGGTACTAAGAAATAAAAACAACAACAAAAAGATGACAGAATTCAATAAGCAGTGTTTTAAGGATACAGTGTTCTGAGGATTACGTTGGGGGAAATCATTGAAAATTATAACTTTTGCTGGGCATGGTGGCGCACACCTGTAATCCCAGTACTCTGGAGGCCAGCCTAGGCTGCATAACAAAATCTTGTCTCAAAAAAAAGAGAAAAAATTGTAACTTTCTCCAGTTTCTCATTAGTGGTTTAACAATAGGTGGTAACCTTCCTAAAAATGTCTAGTTTGGGGCCGGGGATTTAGCTCAGTGGTTCTGGTGCCTGACTCGCAAGCACAAGAACCTGAGTTCGATCTCCCGTACCAAAAAAAAAAATTCTGGTTTGGTTATCTTATTGAAAAAAAGAATTTTTTTTTTTTTTTGGTACCGGGGATTGAACCTGTGTCCTTGTGCTTGCAAGGCAGGCAGCAGAACCACTGAGCTAAATCCCTGGCCCTGGAATATTAAAATTAAGGTGTTGTACTCAGAACTGGGGAGGCTGAGGCAGGAAGATCACTACAAGTTCAAGACCAGCCTGGGCTACACAGTGAGTCCAAGGGCAGCCTGAACTACATAGTGAGACCTTGTCTCAAAAAACAAACGGGCCAGGGATTTAGCTCACTGGCACTGTGCCTGCCTTATAAGCCTGAGGTCCTGAGTTGATCCCCCCACCACCAAAAACAAACAACAATAATGACAATGCCAAAATTAGAGTGGTGTAGGTAGCTAGTTTCAGTGTTTTTATTAGGGCAGCATTATGAAATTTCGGATTCTTTTCTCTCCTGGACACTTGCTTCATAGGCACTCTCACTTATATTTATGGAAGGGATTGTTCCCTCCTCCCAGAGCTCGGAGGAGGCCTGTGAGGCTTTCTGCTGTCAACAAAGCCCTCAGTGATGCGGTTCACACGGAAGCCTTTTGTTTCAGCACACTCTGTATTGAGGCACAATCAGCTTTACATAGTTTAGCATTTTCAGTGCCTGTTGCAGTGTAGCACAGCGGGGGCCGTCCAGATGCCTGATTACGCAGGACAAGGTCTGATTAATAAGTCGGAGTTCGTGCTGCCTGATCTAGAGTAAAGGCAGGGCCCCGCAGGCCCTCCCATCCTTGGCAGAGATCACTGAGTGTGGAGAAAATGCTTGCCTGGGTACAAGTGAGCCACAGTTACTATTTTCACGGCACCTTTGGGAAGCCTTTCTTTTTCTTTTTGCATGCTTTCTTTTTTTTTTTTTTTGAGACAAAGTTTTACGATCCAGTTCAGGCTGGCCTGGAATGCACTATGTAGCCCAGGCTGTCCTTGAACTCCCTTCTCGGCTCCCTGAGTCCTGGGATTACTGGCAGTGCCACCACCCCCAGATGGGCTTCCTTATTGTTGGTGTTGTTTTTTCGTACCAGGGATCGAACTCAGGACTTTGGGATATTGCACTTGGGAGGCAGGCACAGCACCACTGAGATAAAGCCCCAGCTCTGCCTTATTTTGTTGTTGTTTTATTTTCTTTTGTTTTTTTGTTTTTTGAGACAGGGTCTCACTATGTAGTGAGACTGACCTGGAATTCACTATGTAGCCCAGGCTGGTCTCGAACTCACAGTGAACCTCCTGCCTCAGCCTCCCGAGTGCTGGGATTATAGGCATGCACCACCACTCCTGGCACCTTCCTTATTTTTTAGTAAAGAATTATTTTGTGTTTGGGGAGGACATATATCTTTTTCTACAAGATATAATTTTCAGCCGAGTATCGTGGTGAACACCTGTAATCCCAGCTGAGATGGGAGGAGGGAGGATCGTTATTTAAAATCACTGATGGCTGAGGCGGGAGGATTGTGATTTAAAACCTAGCCTGAGCAATTTAACAAGGCCCTGACTCAAAAAGAAAAAAGAGCTGGACGTGGTAGTGTTGTTGATATTGCTACTAATATTTCTTTGGTGACGCTGGGACTCAGATTCATGCACACTAAGCACATGCTCTACCACTGAGCTACACCTCCATCCCTGGACATGGTAGTGTACGCTTGTAATCCTGGCATGAGGTGGGAGGATCACAAGTTCAGGCCCAGCCTGGGCGACTTAGTGTTTTAGGGAAACCCTGTCTGAAAATAAAAGAAGGGCTGGGAATGTAGCTCATTGTGAAGCCTGTGGGTTCAAAGGCCAGGCATGGTGGTGCACACCTGTAATCCCAGCACTCAGTAGGCTGAGGCAGAAGGGTTTAGACAAGCTCCGGGGGAGCCTGGGCTACACAGTGAGTGAGTTCAAGACCTTCCTGGAATAGACAGCGAGGCCCTGTTCTCAGACATACAACCTCTCTCCCTTCTCTTCCTAAGTTGCCCTGGTCTTGAAAGGTGGCGCTGAGTTTGTCAGATTGAAGGCATCTGCCTCACACAGCCCGGCCACCGAGTCTTCCCACGCAGGCCCTTCTGTCAGTGCCAGTGGGTGGCCTATTGCTAGTAACTGTGAATGCAAGCCAGGCTCTGCTTGTACTCACGATGCATTGCTCTCCTTCCTTCACATTCCTGCATCCTGCCACTGCCGACCTCACCTTTCATTTTTCCTCTGTCCCTGCCCCGCTCCCAGACACCCAGGACCTACTGCTGCGCCAACACTGAAGATTTGGAGACGGTGATTCACCACGTGCACAGCCTGTACCCCGCTGCTCCTTTCCTGGCGGCGGGGGTCTCGATGGGAGGGTAAGGCTTTCCCTTTCTGAAACATGTGAGAAGCTGGTTGTGGTGGCGCACGCCTGTGATCCCAGTGCTGGGGAGGCTGAGGCAGGAGGGTCGCTGTGAGTTAGAGGCCGACCTGAGCTACATAGTGAGTTCAAGCCAGTCTGGATTATACATAGTGAGACCTTGTCTCGAAATCAATCAATCAATCGATCATCTGAGGGGGAAGTGGTCTTATTGGCTATCTTGTTCAGAGGAATCTAAAGTTAGACATTTTCAGGTAAATGTTTGTGTTTATCGTGTTCTATCCCATATGGTTGAATGGACGCAGGGATGAATTTGGGTGAGTTTTAGCATTTTCCTTGACTACCGACCGACTCCCTGGGGAAGAAGTACAAGTCCTTCTCGGGGGGGCCAGGAAGGCAAAGCTGACCAGTGCCACCCACCGCCTGGTGACCCCGAATCCCCTATGTCCTTCTTTCTGGAGTTTACCGCGCGGCCGTCAACCCCTCTGCCCAGGGCCCGCTCTGTGCTGCGGCGCGGTGCGGTGCGGTGCGGGGTTTTGGGGCAGGTGGAGCGGTGCCGGGTGTCCGCGCATTAAGGTCGCTGTGTTCATGCCGCTGGCCGCGACCCTGGGACTTCATCGGGAGTTTCCGTCCGTGGCCGTGTTTCCATTTCGGCTGCCTTCTACCAATAATTGCTCATCAGTTTTCTTCCGGTGACAGTGAGCTGCCGGAAATCCGGGATTTTACTGTCCAGCGTTTCACTGCGCTCCGGATCCCCTACAGCCCAGGCCCTGACGACCTTCGTCCTCCTCCCCTCCCTCCTTGCCCCTCTCCCTAGCGTGGCAGGAATCCGATGAGCACTGGGGAGGGCGCCCCCCAGCCCTGTCCCCCACCACCGAACTACCTGCTCACATCAGCAGATAGTCAACACAGAAAATCACATTTCTCTTCTTAACTCTATAATGGATTTGCCTGTCACTTCGATGGAAAACATCTCAGGAGTACATATAGGGGCAGACGGCCTCAACGAGCACAACACCCTAAAACACAGGCTTTCGGGGCTTTTTAGGGTCTGATAAACGCAGAGGCGGGGGGCCCGGAGCCCCCTCGCCATCAGCATCGGCGGCCTGACTTGACCTACAGAAGCCGCAGGCCGGCAGGTTCCACTGTGCTGGGGGCAGGACTTGGCTGCTCCTTCCTGGGCCCGGCCGGGCAGACCTGGTACAAGCCGGCCGATCCCCGGGCGGAGGTCTCTGGGAGCCGCTGGGGCAGAGCCCATTGCTCAGCTTCCTGGCTGAGGAAGACTCTGCCACCCCACGGACAGGGTCCTGACCTGGTGCTGCCCACCGTGCCAGGCACACTGGTGGTCTCCCAGGGAGGTGGCCTGGTGGCGCAGACCTGGGATCCCGGCATAGGAGGCCAGATCAGGAGGAACCCTAAGAATTTGAGGCCAGCCCCGACTATAGAAAACAAAGAGGGAAACAAAGGAAAAAATCCCAAGTATTAAGAGACTTAAGAGGCAAACCAGTCTCAAGATTTAGATCTTATCTGTATTTTTAGAAAAGCTATAAAATCAAACAAACAAGTGGGGAATGTGAACAATGACTAAATATTTAATGACACTTACAAATTAGTATTAGCAGGGCGTGATGGCCCACACCTGTGATGCCAGCATTCAGGAGGCTGAGGCAGGAGGATCACTGCAAGTTGGCAGCCAGCCTGGGCTGCATAATGAAACTCTGTCTCAAACAAACAAAAATAAGTAAATGAAATGAATGGAAAAAGGAGAAACAAATGCGATGACTTGAGAGATGTAATAAATGAATCCCTAAGTTCCCGGTTTCTCCTCCTTTCAGAATGCTGCTTCTAAATTACCTGGGCAAAACTGGGCCCAAAACTCCTCTGATGGCAGCCGCGACGTTTTCCGTGGGCTGGAACACTTTCGCTTGCTCAGAGTCCCTGGAGAAGCCACTGAACTGGCTGCTCTTTAATTACTACTTGACCACCTGCCTCCAGTCTTCCGTTAATAAGTAAGTCATCGTTAAAGTCTTTGTCACCAACTCTTTGGAGCACATGGCCCAAACATTGTAAAATCACAGCACTGCTACAGACATCGATGTAGATGGGCTCATACATTGGATGCATTTACTGCTGAACCAAATATTCTCTACATTAAAAATGCCTACAAAATTATAAAATTGAAAGCATGAGCTAAAAATATATAATTTCTTTCTTGTATTCAAAATAGATTGTCTTATGTAACTCCTGAAGTATGTGTTCCCACTTTAGAGATCACTAAATAACTACCCTAAATTAATCCAGAAGGGGGGCAGGGATTTAGCTCAGTGGTTCTGCCGCCTGCCTCGCAAGCACAAGGTCCTGAGTTCGAGCCCCGGTACCAAAAATAATTAATCTAGAAGGCGGAAACATTAATATAGAATGCGTCAGGTAATCTTCTGGGCTATTTGCCTACATTTTCTGCTGGTTCACCTTGTCAGGACAGAATTCTTGCCCAGAAGTATTAAATGATGTCAGTGTGAGTAACACGGCTCCTGAAGCTTTAGAAGCAAGAGAAGGCAAAGGTATAACTCCTAGGGACTGCGGAGTCTGCACTCTCGATCCTTACAATTCCGAAATACAGGCTTTCTTAGTTCTTTGGAATTTTTGGTGTGTCTTCTAGCAAAGAAATTGGCCTAGTAAGCCCGGCACGGTGGTGCACACCTGTAATCCCAGCACTCGGGAGGCTGAGGCAGGAGCATCACCACAAGTTTGAGGCCTGGGCTACATAGTAAGCTCAGGACCAGCCTGAGCTACATAGTGAGACCCTGTCTCAGAAAAACAACAGCAAAAAAGGTCTTCAAAACAAGCATCAATTTCCTCCTCCTCCATCTGGCCTTGTGAGCCCTGTGCTAGGTTATTTAGTTGTTGATTGAATATTTTAGGAGTGATCGAGGTCGGCGGGACCTTAATTTTTAGTTTTGAAATTCTGTGTTCCAGGCACCGGCATATGTTTGTAAAACAAATTGATATGGACCACGTCATGAAGGTAGGAGAGAAACTTTATGTCACCCTTTGATTTCCTCTTTTGAGTCCATGAATAGATGTGATTTGTTTTTGTTCTCCAGGCTAAATCTATCAGAGAGTTTGATAAGCGTTTCACGTCGGTCCTGTTTGGTTACCGAACCATCGACGATTATTACACGGATGCCAGCCCTAATCGCAGGCTGAACTCCGTCGGGATCCCAGTGCTGTGCCTCAATTCTGTGGACGATGTTTTCTCTCCCAGCCACGGTAAAGTTTTTTTGTTTTTTGTTTTTTGTTTTCAGTGCTGGAACTCAAATCCAGGGCCTGAAAATACTAGGCAAGCCCTCTGCCACTGAGCTACATCCTCATTCATTCTGTAGATTTTCACATGTATTCAATTTTAAAATATTGGTTTTTGGTTTGTCTGTTTTGTTTTGTTTTGTTTTTTACAAAAATGCATTGAGGGATTAGGTGCACAGCTGTAATTCCAGCTACTCTGAGGGCTGAGGTAAGAGGATCACAAGTTCAACGTTAGTATAGGCAAGTTAGCTAAACCTGGTTTCAAAAAAATAAAAATAAAGCTGGGTGTGGTGGCGCATGCCTGTGATCTCAGCACTCTGGAGGCTGAGGCAGGAGGATCACCATGAGTTTGAGACCAGCCAGTACTACATAGTGAATTCAAGGGCAGCCTAAACTACATAGGGAGCTCCTGTCTCAATAAAACAAAAAAATAAGATAAACTGCGGGAGGATTGCCACGAGTTGAGGCTGGCTTGAGCTACATGGTAAGATCCTGTCTCCAAAACCCCAAAAAATAAAAATAAGGGCTGGGGATATAGCTCAGTGGTTCCACTGCCAGCCTCGCAAGAGCAAGGTCCCAAGTTCAACCGCAATATCCCAAGTTTGATATCCGGTACCAAAAAAACAAAACCAAAATAAATAAATTAAAAAATAAAATGTCTGGAGATACAGCTCTGCTTTGTGCCTAGCGTGCACGAAGTCCTGAGTTCAGTCCCCAGGCCCCCATGGGGGGAAAGCCCAGTCACCTGATTGGGCCACAGCAGAAGATGAAGAGTAACAGACAAAGAAAGAACAAGGGCTGTTCACTACTCCCCCGCGCCTTAGCTCTCTCCTGGCTGATATCACAATGATCTCCTCTCCTCCAGGACCCTCAGTATTTCTTGTTTACCCAGCACAGCAGGGCGTAAAGGCAGACCAGGGAATAGCAGAACTAAAATAAAGCACTACTGAGCCGGGCTGTGACAGGGCGGAATGGGGCATTCTCCTGAAGGCCAGGTCCGAGCCAACGTGATTTTGAGAACGGCTGGATGGAGTCGTAAACCCTCAGCTGCAGTGTTTCCTTGCATTAGAGGCATCAGGACCTCATTGCTCACTGAGACTTCAACTGTGACCCATGGCACAGAGAAGTCCATCTCTGTGCACCAGAGCAGGCTCATTTGGCATTTCACACAGAAGCCTTGGATTCATGCATAATTTAATCAATAGCCAATTTTATTTTATTTATTTTTGGTACCAGGAATCTAACTCAGGGCCTTAAAGGCTTTCCAGGCAGGCCCTGTGCTACTGAGTTGCATCCCCAGTCCAATAGCCAATTTATAAACCAATTCATTAGGATTTTAGCCTGCTCAACTCAGTTTCAAGCTGGTTTCTTGCACCCCCCCCAAAAAAAAGAAAGAAAAAAGAAAATGAGATAAGAAAATATCAGCCAGGTTCATGGCCCACACTTATAATCCCAGCATTCTAGGAGGCCGAGGGATGAAAATGGCAAGTGCAAGCCCAGCCTGCACAGCTAAACAACTCAGTGAGATGCTCTGTCAAAAGAAAAAAGGGCTGGGCCAGGCACTCGGGAGGCTGAGGCAGGAGGATCTCTGTGGGTTCGAGACCAGCCTAGGCTACATAGTGAGTTCCAGGTCAGTCTCAACTACATAGTGAGACTGTGTCTCAAGAAACAAACAAACAAACAGAAAAAAAGAAAAAAGGTGAAGATATATAGCTTAGGGCAAAGGCTCTGAGTTCGAGTTCCAGTATAAAAAGAAGTCAGTTATGTTTTCCACTGTGATTTTTAAAAATGCATGTGGGCTGGTGATTTAGCTCAGTGGTTTGATGGCCTGACTTGCAAGCGCAAGGACCCGAGTTCAATACCCGGTACCAAAAAACAAAAAAATAAAAACATGAGATACTTTAATATCTAAATGTCTTTTTTTCTTTCTTTTTTTTTTTTTT